TTTTGTGCTCCACGCTTCACTTAACCAGGAAGGTCTTTCAGGGCGTGACAAGCTTTTTGAAAACGGTCTTTTGCATGATATAGGGGCACATGCGGGAACCACAGAACCATGGTTAATTTTTCCTGAACGGCCCTCTGAATACCAGAAAAGGGGTCCCTAGTTCGATTCCTCGTGGTGACAAATTTTTGCATTTCGAGTTGACGTTCAAAATTCGCGCAAAATGGAGTTAGCATGAATAATTAGTACCATATTCATGATTAGGACCGTCAGTAACCCTTACAAATAGACTTTGATTAAAAAACTGGTGAAAAAGGTGTGACACCACAGTGGGGCTGCTTGGTGTCACACCTCTTACACCAATTTTTAAGTCAAAGTCTTTTTGTAAGGGTTACTGACGGTCCTAATCATGAATATGGTACTAATTATTCATGCTAACTCCATTTTGCGCGAATTTTGGAACGTCAACTCGAAATGCAAAAATTTGTCACCACGAGGAATCGAACTAGGGACCCCTTTTCTGGTATTCAGAGGGCCGTTCAGGAAAAATTAACCATGGTTCTGTGGTTCCCGCATGTGCCCCTATATCATGCAAAAGACCGTTTTCAAAAAGCTTGGCACGCCCTGAAAGACCTTCCTGGTAAGAACGGAGCAATCAATCAATACGTATGTAGTCTTCACCGCCTAATCGCCTAATCGCCTAATCGCCTACTCGCCTACTCGCCTAATCTATACGTATATTTTCATTATAGACTAATCGCCTAATCGCCTGATCGCACGTACGATCGCCAACTGTGAACGCTCCATTATTTTCCCAAATCGTGGAGCATGAATTTGCCCTTCCAATGGGACTGTTAAATAACCAGATCGCCGAATCTCCCTACTGCGATCTTTTTGACGCTAGGATTGCTTTCATACTGTGGGTGGCACGGATGACGTAGGATCGTGAACAGCGATGGGCTTACAATACAAACCATCGGGCGGTGTCAGACTTCGCGAATTCAGCGCATCGTGGGGTACGAGGGGTGCACCAGCGATTCGAAAGCTCGGGAAACCAGCGAGAGTCTCTCTTGTTTGCGTGAGAGCATAAGCCTGAGAAAATTGCGAGAGTCAACGCGCAAACGAGAGGGACTCTCGCCACTCTCGTGCTCTCGAATAGCTGGCGCATCGTTCATACCTCGCGATCCGCTAAGTCTGGCACCGGCCTTCGGATCGTTGCATTTTCAAAGGGGGGGGGAGTCTTTCGGGTTTTTGAAGGAGTGTGAATCTTTCTCTTTTGCACTGCAACATAGTTATAATAGAACCTAAAGGGGGTGAAACGAGGCAAAAAAATTCTCTAAAACTTCTCCTTTGGGGGTTTCGAGACTCTGAACTACTGAGATGAAATTTATTTTTAACGCTGGCGCCCGAAATGGTGCATTTGGAATTGCATTGAGTTTGCTGTTAACTCATAGATATAGGTAATTTAGTGCATGAGTATGACATCTATTCTGAGCCCTGGCACCATTTGGCGCCACTCCTGCTCATCTGCTCTCCCTCACTGATCACATTGCGAACAGGCTGGAGGAAGGGGGGGGAGGGGGTGGGGAGAATGGGTGATGCGCTCATAGAGGGGTGAATGTCGTGGTTCGGGAGCGGTTGCCCTCCTAACCCTCCAACACGACGCATCGAGGTGGTTCGGGGCCCCCGTGGCCTTTCCCAGGCACACGTCGTTCTACGGGTCCTTCCCGGGGATCATGCGGTTTGACCTCCGCACCCCGGGGCCTTACAGGGTTCCTAACCCAGGAACGGGGGTTTACAGGGCCATGCCCCGCGGTAACAACCCCTTGATGCACGCAGCACATGATGACCTATTGCGCCTTAATCGGGCCCCAGCCCTGGCGCTCCCCCAAGCTTACCCGTGCTGCTATACTTGTACACAACACTACACATCTTGGACTCATAGTTTATTGGCGATAACGTCCTTAACGCACTACAACTTAACTTCCTGCCGAGCGTGGAGAAGCCCGGCCAACGCTTGTAGTGTCTGCAGCCATTAGCGGTAACAGCGGTAACAACGGCCTGCAGCCGATAGTGTCCCTCGGGTGTAGGACGTAAGCAAACCAGCCCTTTTGGCGCTTCGGCTGGGACCGTATGCTGAATGTTGGGGAGGGGATGGAGTCCCCGACGGTGGACGGACCACTTCAACTCGGTCCTTAGAACCGCCACAATTTGGTGCTTACCTCAGAACTAAGCCTTAAAGAGAGGACGGGTCCGTCCCCTCTCCAAGGCTTAGTCCTGGGGTGAGCAAACCAGCCCTTCTGGCGGAGCTGCTGGACCAGCTGCACCACTTGCGTCAGTACTCTCCTATCGTACCAACCGAGTTGAAGTAAACCGTCGACCGTTGGGGACCCCATCCCCTCCCCAACATTCAGCATACGGTCCCAGCCGAAACGCCAAAAGGGCTGGTTTGCTTACCTCCGGGTGCAGCGCTCCGAGCGAACGGGGAGGCGGTCGTTTGGCGCGGCCCTTCGCAGCAACTTTGCCATCGGGACGCATGGACCGTAATTGCCACACTCGCTCCTCCCATGCCTTGGCCAAACAACTCGTCCACATCAGCTAACCGCTAGATTTACATAATTGGTCGATCTACAGTAGAGCGCAACCACAACCATTCCACTTCACAGCAACTTGCAGTACACAATGAGAATGCTCAATGGGTTGAGTCTACCTTGTTAAGAGAACAGTTTGTGGGAAAATCTATTGTCGTTGATTACCCTAAAAAGCTGTTTTGAAATGCCTCGACCTCTATTCACAATGAATTTCAATTCCACCGCTTTGTATTGCTTTTGTTGAACGAATCGTCCAAATCTAAATAAATAGCGTAGGAGCTCATCAGCTAACTTGAAAGTTTTGCGCTGCATTTTTATCTCCTCATCCTTTTTGTTATCGCCACCGCTTGCGAACCCTTTTCATTAGCTATCCCTATTCAGCAAAATTCTGAAGTCCAAATTTCCGAACTGGTGATTTTTCCTCCAACGTGCACTTTATTATCATTTAAATTGAATGGTATCGTATAAGACATTCCGTACTATTCCCTCGTATTCAGCCCTCTTTGAGTTTTCCTTTAACGAGTTGCTATGTCCAGTTCAACAGAATGACATTTCTCAGTAATTATTGCTAGAGGGGACTATGAGACGTGCGATGTTGCATCCAATATGCCCATGAGAGATCCAAATACAACGAGATTGGGATGAGACATGCCGTTGGCAAACTAGAAGTAAATCACTGGCTTGGAAAACATCAATTTCCGTATCCAAATGGAAGGGAGCATTCAATGAAACAGGACCGCAATGGACGCAAAGTCATACTCATTATGGATGACAATCACAGTTAAATT